AAGACTGTGACAGGAATTTTGTCTAGACCACAAGCTGTAGACGAGTTTAATTGAGATATGACTTTAGCAACAGAAGCCGGAGTGATTTGAAATTCTAACAATGGGTCAACCTGTTTGACTGGAATGGAGGGAAGAGAATGTCCATAAGATTCAAGAGTGGAATTTGAAGAAAAGTTCTTTGCAAATAGTTCTGCCTTATCATTGGGAGAGGTAATAAGATAAGTCCCATAAATGAGAGATGAAATGTTAGATCTACCCTTGTTAATAATGCTGTTGAAGATTTTCCAAAAGTCTTTAGAGCCTAATTTCTGCGATAATATATATATTATCGCAAAAGTCTATACAATATATATATATATATTATATATATATATATATATATATATATATATATATATATATATATATATATATATATATATATATATATATATATATGGTGTATATATATATATATATATATATATATATATATATATACATATAGACTATGCACTATATATATGTATCTGTGTAAACACACACACATATATTGTCAGTATATACAATAAATTTAATTCAATATATATATAATTTTATAAATATAACTTATACTACATACATTATATATATATATGTATATTCACTATAATATAGTGTATATACATATATATAATGTATGTTGTATAAGTTATATTTATAAAATTATTAGATATACATTTATAAATATATATATATATATATATATATATATATTTATATATATATATGTATATATATATATATATATTTATATATATATATATATATATATATATATATATATATATTTATATATATATATATATTTATATATATATATATATATATATATATATATATATATATATATATATATATATATATATATATATATATATATATATATATATATGTATATATATATTTATGTGTGTGTTTATATAAAAAATAGATATCAGCTATTGCTTTTTTTTATGAGTTCAAAGTTTTATATATAAACTGTATTTTTAAATTTTTTAGATTTTACAAACTTTGACGATTTCCAGGATATATTGGATTAATAGATAAAGCAAGTCCTATAACAAGTCCTGAGAGAGAAAATGTAGAATTGTATCAAAACAGAAAAGGATATTTTTCTTTGAACTGCCAAATAATTTAAGGTCTTTTAAAAGAAATTTTGTATGCTTGTATTCAATAGACTAAATATGTTCACGGATCACAAGATTTAACCAATTCAGCCATTAAACAGGTTTTAGAAGCTCATCTTCACGTCCATATTATAGGACAACACCCTCATTGTCAGCACTGATGTGACCGTGGAATGTTGTTTGGGAATTTATTTGCAATACGCTTTACAAATATAACCAAAAATTTTATAGACATGGTATCATGCTTTACTCACAACATTGCCTTTTAAAAAAATAATCTTTAGGTAAACATTTAAACGTAAAATTATAATCAGGAAAATGGTTCCAAAGTGTCAACGAAACATTTTGTAGGAAAAATTAAAATAGATTTTTTATATAAATAGACTCGATTTTTTTTATAAATACTTAACTAATGAAAAAATAAAAATAAAAACAATCAAAGAGTATCAATAAAGAAAATCTTTTTTATTGACAAAGTAAATGAAAAACTCAATTTGAAAAATAAAATTATCTTGGAAATAAGAATAACATTCAAAAAAATAGAAATGCTCTAATAAAATAATCCTTATAATTGTGTTTATTAAAATTGGTTTATTATTATTTTTTAAAATTTTTTGAAAATTTTTATTTTAATGTCAAAATAATTGTATTATCTTTTTGGCTTTTCTGGTACCTCAAGTTTTCTAATAATATCATAAGAATATAAACTTCTGTTACTCATTTGGTCATTTGTTATATAATAGTATTGATAAATAAATATATAATAATATTGATAAAATGGTATATGTAATAACCAAGAAAGAAAGTTAAGTTTGTTTTGTATCAGTAGTTGTATCCTAAAAATGTACTATCAATTTTTAAGTTTTTTGAAACTTAAATTCCGAAATTGTATTATATCCATAAAATTTTAAAATAGAATTAAATGATTTTGTAGCAATATTTGCAAAACGTTGTCTATTGATAGGATGTTATAGTTTATTCAGTTTCACCAGCTATTTTTTCCTCTCTTTTACTAAAGTTCAAAAAATAAATAGGTTTATTTAGCGGAAACTAGTTGATTATATAATAAACTTTATAAATGCCAAAAACATTTCCTCTAATTCATTTATTGACTAAATGGCCACACTAATTCTGTCACTTCAATGATACTAGTCACCTCAAACTAAGGGGCAATTTTTTTCAAAGCATCCTTATTTTACAATTAAACAATTGTTTGGAGCTTGCTTCGTGTCGGGAGGTTAGCTATCTCAAAGACCATAAAATACTGGATCAGCCTCTGATCTATACAGATTTTGACTCTATCGTTTTTTTACTGACTTGTTAAGCGTTGAAACAAAAATAGGTTCTGTTTACATTAGATAAAATCTAACTTGTATCAATTATTTTCTTCTACTGATTTTGTTCTCTATTTCTATAAATATTATATTCGACCTGCTATTGAAAACTGTTGTCATATTTTAAAATTAATTTTCTGTTAACTCCAAACGTAATTAGTGTTTGCTTACAGCCAGAGGCTGTTTTACGAGAGAAGGGGGAGGGAGTGTTACACCCCCTAAAGACTGTGATTTTTAAGTTATAGTCGGTTTTTTTTTATAAATTTAGTCGGGTATTTGACACAATTCAGTTAGGTAAACTTTGGTTTTGAGGAACCTTTTTTTTTTTTTTAAGAAGTAAGTTGGTACTTTTTAAGACTTTACCTCCCCCCTCCCCCCCCCCCCCCCCCCTTCATTTTACTTGTAGAATTGCTTCTTTGGCAAGAAAAAAAAAGTTAAACTCTTCCTTGTAAGAGTTTAACTTTTTTTTTTTTTTTTTTTTAACAACAAAGTTGAGTAATAAAATCTCTTGTGTTTGACATATATGCTTTGCTGATAAGCGCATAGTATATATGCCATTTGAATGTGAATCAGCTGTTACGTCGTAGTTAGAGGCTTGGACTTAATAGAAGATAACACGAGCATATTCATTTTAGTCCAGTGTTTCTTAATAACTTACCAAGTTTAAATAAAAATACAAAAAAATTTGCTGTTTTTGTAACACTGATCAAATTATTTTTGTAAGTTAATAATTTAAAGTAAAAAGCTGAGAAATATTATTTTAAAATATATAGTTATTTTGCTATATTTAAAAGGTTTTCCCTACTCGGCCGCTATGGGTTGCAAAGTTTTTTTTTTTCCAATTGCGCCTTCAAATCAACGCCTTCTAAGTTTTTCAAGTTTGACTATCTCAAGCGCGTTCTTAAAATTTTAAAGTTTCTTTCACGCATTTGCAAAGTTTTTTTTTGAAGTCTAACTTCACGAAATCATATTTCAACGTTTAAGTTGAACTTTACTCAAGTGCTCTTCTTGCATTCTACCCTAAATCTTCACCTTAACATTGCATCACTTCCCTATTAAATTGATGACCTGAGCAGTCTTACAGCACATTAAAAATCATACCTATGGCAATAGGGATTACTGAATTCAACTTATACCTAATGATACCAATATAACAGACATAACTATTAATGGAATCAGTATTAAGCATTGCTCCGCTGAGGCCGAAAAAGGTGGTGCTCTATTATTTCTGTAGCCTAATTTAAATTATGTAGTTCGTTCGTTCGAATAATTTCATTTCTTTGCATCAGTACAGTTTCTTCAAACGTAGATCCATGTATACAGATGTAATTCTTACAGATGAAATTCAGATGTAATTATAATTTTTTTTCTTTATGTAATTAGCCTTTTTCGGCCTCAGCGGAGCAATGCTCAATACTGACTCCATTAATAGTTATGTCTGTTATATTGGTATCATTAGGTATAAGTTGAATTCAGTAATCCCTATTGCCATAGGTATGATTTTTAATGAGCTGGTAAGACTGCTCAGGTCTATATATAGACATATTAAATTGATTAAATACAAGTATTTTAAATGAGTGGACTACTGCTGTTAATAATAAAAAGATAGTTGATATCATCTGTATAGACTTTGAGAAAGCTTTCGATACTATGTCTCACTCTAAGTTACTATTTAAACTGCGTTGTTATCAAGTATGAGTTGCTAAATTGGGTTACAAACGTCTTGACAAATCGTTCTTAACGTGTTTGAATTAATAATTCATACTCAAACAGCATTCATGCAAAAAGTGGAATACCTCAAGGAACTGTTTTGGGACCCATTTTATTTTTAATTTTTATAAACAATATAACCTTGAGTATTGAGGGGGATTGCGGAATCAAGCTTTTTGCAGACGATAGTAAGTTGTATCAAGCGAGAAAAGACGGAAACAATATCAACCTTGTAAATACTTTAAAGAGAATTTCAGAATGGTCAAATAACTGTCAACTCAATATATCTACCAAAAAATATTTTCACCTGCGATACGGAAAGAATCTATTACCAGAACATTCCCCAGACAGCAAGCTTACATTGGACCAACGTTGGGCCAATGCATGATGATGCATTGGCCCAACGTTGAAAGTCGATGTTGGCCCAATGCAGGTTTGATCATTGGTTAGGTATTGGCCCAACGTTGTGTACAACATTGGCCCAATGTTGTATACAACGTTTATCCAACATTGGCCCAACGTTGTATATAAATTTAGGCCAATGTTGTATACAACATTGGTTCAACGTTGTATACAACATTGACCCAACGTTGTATACAACATTGGCCCAATATCGTATATCGTATATCGGCCTAACGTTTTATGCAACATTAGATCGTTGTTACAAATAAGATGATTTGCATCGCTACATTAAAAATTTATAGAGAAAAAAAAATGTATGATACAAGTATAAAAATTTATTTATTTAACATAATTTCTCGGTTAAATATACATATTGCAAACACCAAACTTCAACCAAAAACTGACACATTGAGTTTCAAATAAAAAAATTCACTATAAAATTTATAAAGTAGTTTCGATATTGGCTGAGCTACTTGTTATTGAATCGTGTTTAGCTTATGATATTTGGTACCCACTATTATTATTTTTTCTCCCACTATCTCTATCACATGTCTGCATAAGCCATGCTTATTTGACTTGTTGATAGCAACATATGCAATCAACATTTTTCCTATTCCAATTTTTTGTCCTCTCCCTGTATAGTTTAATTTTACAGCTAGGCCATTTTAAAAAATATTCTTAGCAAATAAAATATACAATCTCCTTTGTCTTTAACTCCGATTTGTGCCAAATAATTGACCTGCAAAAATACACAACCTGGCAATAATTAAAGTAACTTTTGTTTAGACTTAAAATAATATAAAATGTCATTTACAAGAAATCTTCAAAGAGTATTTTATTTAAAGTATATAAGTTGTACTAAGATATCATACAAAATGCCTAAACAGATCATAAAAAAAAATTTACCATTTACTAAAGTATTTTTTTGTCTTCTTTCTTCTAGAGTACTTGAATTCTTTACTGTTTTTAATGGCAATGACACTCTTTCAGGCAATACAATAATTAGCATACCTTTGTTACTCAAATTTTTATAACTGAATTTGATGTGTTTTGTAGTTCACCAAGTTGCACTTCAATGCTTGCCCGTTGTGCCAATAATACCAGCATATCTTTCAAGGATACAACTTTATCTTGAACATTAAAGTTAATTATATTATTAAGAAACTATACAACTAATTACATATTATATTTAGAATTAATGAAAGTAAATACAACAATCACTAATAAAACAAATAAAATTAAAGAAAGAGGGTCATATTTTTAATGATAAAAATATATACTTGCTAATGGATCATTAATAATTTTATGAATTATGAAATTTGCAGATGTGCATTCAATTTCTGTTAATGTTCAAGCTTACACATTAACGAGAATTGTTTTGTGTATCTTATAAAATACAGATTGCATTGTACAACAAAAAAATTCATATTAAAACAATGTTTCTCCTCAGGGTTTGTAGCCAACTATTTATATAAAAATCAATGACTTTTTTGGAAAATCAGATGAATTTCCCTGACCATTTTTAACAATGGTTTTTACAAAATGTTTAAAATTACTATCTACTGTAATGGAAATGCTAAGATTGTACATGCTTTCAATGACAAAACTTATTAAACTTAGCTATTAGTTAAGTTGGATATTAGTATGGAGCTTATTATACATGTTAGTATGGATCTTATTATTAAGAATGACTAAGAACGAACACTAAGAAAAACATAAGTTTCAGAAAAATTAAATGGGTAGCTCCAAAATAAACATAATAGCTTAATCGAGTGCTGTATTTTGAAAATGTGACAAGTCACAAAATTAAAATTTCTTTTATCCAAAAAAAATCTTTATTTTATCTTATCATTTTATCTTTTCCTAAAAAAAAAAAATATTCTTTTCAAATAACCTCACTTTCATAAAAAGTGTGGTTATTTGAAATATAAAGTTGTCCAATGTTTGTAAATATTTTTTTTTTACATATTTTAATTCTGAACTTTAATAATACAGTTTTTAAAATAATATCATCTATAAAAATATTGTATTACCTTTGTCTATTATATAAATTTAAACAAACGTTTATATAATGAATAATAATGAACCACCAGCAACTGTTAAAACTTTAAGCTGATATGAATACTCTGTTGTTTTTTTTCAACAGTTGATTTTGTTGAATTTCAAAGTTGGTGACACCAACTTTGAAGACCAACAAAAAATTTTTGTTTCATTAAATCGACTAGAAAATCTGGCCAGTTTTTCTGTGGTCAGTATTAGAGAGCGATCACTCTCGCTTCCCGACCAAGCTTTGATATGCTGATTATTACACAATAAAATGTTTATTTACACTATGACTTTTTGACTGTAATATATGAAAAAGATTTTAAAGTTGTAAAAGCTAAAGCTATAAATAAAGATTTTCAATCATCAGACATAAAGACTTTCATATAAAAACTTACCATTTAATAAATTTGTTCATTCAACTTCTCAGAGCAAACATTGAACTTCTGTAAAGAGTTTGGAGTTACAGGTAAATCCCTAAGTTTAATAACATTTTTTGTTTTATTATAAGAAAATGAGGTGTAGAGGATAAATCATCTACACCAAGATATACACAATTTTTTGTCTCTTTAATCTTTATTTTGACTGGTCATTTTCGCTGTCTTCCTTTTTTGTCTCCAGAGCAGTAATTTAGCCTTCTGCTAAATTCAATCTTGTATAGCTTTAAAAATCTATAAATCAAATCATTAATAATTAAGTTATAACTAAAGTTAATGTATAAGCTTAAAGTTGTTAATTGTTGTACGCAAACTAAATATGAAAAATATCCAGAATTGTTAAATTAAAAAATAATTAAACCTCATAATTTTTAAATTATGAGGTTTAATTATTTTTTAATTTAACATGTTAAATTAAAAAATAATTATTTTTTAATTTAATAATTTTAATTGTTAAATTAAAAAATAATTAAACCTCATTACCTTTCAAATGTTTGATTTATTTAATAAAGAAGACATTTAAAATGTCTTCTTTATTAAATAAATCGAACATTTGAAATGTTTCATTTATTTAATAAAGATTATTAAATAAATCAAACATTTGAAATGCCAATAGAGTTATAAAAATAAAATAATAACTTCAAGATCTCACACAAAAATAATTTAATTATTGCAAAAGGTAATTGCCGGCAGTGCCGGCAAATAATTCTGAGATTAACTGCCGGCAGTATAATTTACAAAAACTGCTATATTATACAAATATATAATATACAAAGTATAATTTACAAAAACCTGCAATTACCACTAGCCTTTAATTATGGCCTTTAATATTACATTAATAATTTAGATTGTAGTAAAAAATGTTTTAAGGATATTATTTAAATGTTAAAAAATATTTCATTATTTAAAAAAACAAAACATCAAGTCACGAGAATCTCTTGAAGTTTATTTCTTATTAGGAGGCTTTTAAGATTCTTAGAAGATTAATAAATATAGCTTCTTATTTTTATAATTTTTTTAAAAAAATGAAAACTAAACCTTTTTTTATTCTGTCAAACGATACCATTTTTAAAAATTTTTTCGAAACAATTTTAAAAGTATATACTAATCCGCAACTACATTGGCCGAATATTGGCAACGGTATGAATGTAACAACAGATTTTTATAGCAAAATATTAAGCCTAAACTACATTGGCCAAGTATTGGCCCAACGTAGTACGATAATTGCAAAAAACCGATTTGTAGAATTGCGAAAAAAAAATATTGGCTAAATGTTGGCCCAATATTGTACGATATTTGCAAAAAACCGATTTGCAAAATTGAAAATAATACGCCGAAAAAAAACATTGGCTTAATGTTGGCCCAACGGAATAAACTTGCCAATGTTAAAACTTACATTGGGCCAATGTAAGCTTGCTGTCTCGGTCATACTTATTGGATATCGACACGCCTATCGAATCAATTGATTCAATCCAAGATATTGGGATATTTATTTCTTCCGATATGAAATTTTCTAAACACTGTTTAATGCTAGAAAAGCAAGTTCTTGTGCTTACTTACTCTTAAAGTCTTTCATCAGTAATGATTCGCAACTTTTGATAAGAGCCTATAAAGTTTATATTCGACCAATTTTAGAGTCATGTACCCCTGTGTGGAATCCGTATCTCTTAAAAGATATATGTCGGGTAGAAAAGGTCCAGAAATGTTATACAAGAATTGTCTGCAAACGATGTTGTATTCCATATAAAGATTATGCTTCAAGACTTGATATCTTCAATCTTGATTCTCTTGAATGCCGGAGAATAAAATTTGATCTTTTAATGACCTATAAGATTATGCACAAGATAGTCGATTTGCCTTTTTCTGAGTTTTTTACTCTCGCTCCTACTCATTATTTAACTAGATGTCATTCCCAAAAAATAACATCACGTAACAACTACCCCAGACAGCAAACTTACATTGGACCAACGTTGGGCCAATGCATGATGATGCATTGGCCCAACGTTGAAAGTCGATGTTGGCCCAATGCAGGTTTGATCATTGGTTAGGTATTGGCCCAATGTTGTGAACAACATTGGCCTAATGTTGTATACAACGTTTACCCAACATTGGCCCAACGTTGTATATAACGTTAGGCCAATGTTGTATACAACATTGGCCCAACGTTATATACTACATTGACCCAACGTTGTATACAAAATTGGCCTAACGTTGTATACAACATTGGCCCAATATCGTATGTTTTATATCGACCTAACGTTTTATGCAACATTAGATCGTTGTTACAAATAAGATGATTTGAAAAATTTTAAAAAATTTATAGAGAAAAAAAAGAATGTATGATACAAGTATAAAAATTTATTTATTTAACATAATTCTGCGGTTATATATACATATTACAAACACCAAACTTAAACCCAAAACTGACACATTGAGTTTTAAATAAAAAAATTCACTATAAAATTTATAAAGTAGTTTCGATATTGGCTGAGCTACTTGTTATTGAATCGTGTTTAGCTTATGATATTTGGTGCCCACGATTATTATTTTTTCTTCCACTATCTCTATCACATGTCTGCATAAGCCATGCTTATTTGACTTCACAGTTTCTGCAAAAAAAAAAAAAGTTGTTTGTTTAATTATGCACCAAAGAAATATAACAAATTGAAAGTAATTCTGTAATGCAAAATTGAGACTGAAAAAATAAACTTTTCTAAACCACTTACCAATAGCAGCATATACATAGTTTAATTTTACAACTAGGCCATTTTAAAAAACTATTCTTAGCAAATAAAATATACAATCTCCTTTGTCTTTAACTCCGATTTGTGCCAAATAATTGACCTGCAAAAATACACAACCTGGCAATAATTAAAGTAACTTTTATTTAGACTTAAATTAATACAAAATGTAATTTACAAAAAATCTTCAAAGAGTATTTTATTTAAAGTATATAAATTGTACTAAGATATCATACAAAACTCATAAAAAAATTATAAAAAAATATTTACCATTTACTTACTTATTTTCTTTTCTTCCAGAGTACTTGAATTCTTCACTGCTTTTAATAGCAATGACACTTTTTCAGGCAATACAATAATTAGTATACCTTTGTTACTCAAATTTTTATAATTGAATTTGATGTGTTTTGTAGTTTACCAAGTTGTACTTCAATGACGACTAAGAATGAACACTAAGAAAAACATAAGTTTCAGAATAAGTTTCAGCATAAGCTACAGTCGTATCATATTTTGTAGCAATGTGTCATAGCGACACATTGCTACAAAATCGCAATGTTTAAAGTTCAATTATTCTCATAATTATAATAAAATTCAATTATTCTCATAATTATAATTTAGTACTCTATAACCAAACAACAAGATACATAATGCTTATATAGCTATCATTTAAAAAGAAGCAAATAAATCTTGGTAAAAAAACAAAAGAAAAATAACTTAACTAAAACAGCAGAAATAAAATTAAAACTTGTGCAACCTGTTCCATGTTCTGCTACCTTGCATGATTTGCTATCTAAGCAAAGGCTGGAAGGAGTGTTCTTCCTGTCATCAGTACTATCTTATATCAGTCGTGCCTATAGTAATTTTTTTTTTTTTTTTTTTTCCCATATAGTTGGAGGTGCCTTAGTTACTGTATTAGCTCACCTGTAATCTACGTTATATGTATGTTTGTGTTCTGTCTGAACCTCTGGCGCGGTGTTCGCTCACCCGTAAGTTACTTTATGTTTTTTATGTTTTTTTATGTATGTTTGTGTTCTGTCTGAACCTCTGGCGCGGTGTTCGCTCACCCGTAAGTTACTTTATGTTTTTTATGTATGTTTGTGTTCTGTCTGAACCTCTGGCGTGGTGTTGACTCACCCGTAAGTTGATTTATGTTTGTTTGTGTTCTGTTTATACTCTAATGCAGCGTGAGCTCAGTAACTAACTACTTACTCCAACTACAAAACGTACACTCACCTTAGACTCCTGTATTTTGTTAGATGCAGTGTCATGCCTGGTTTTCTCAAAGTACTGTTGCGGGAAGTAACTCCTTTTAACTACTCGAGGTCAGGTCAGGATAATCGAGATCAATCTTGCTACTGGTATCACGTAACCCAGTACCACCTGCCACAAGCCCTGCTGCCTTGCAGAGTGTGCTCTTCTTATGCAAAGGCTAGGAGAAATAAACTCCAACTAAAAAATCCCCTGCCTTGGGGCTCTTGGTTGAGTAAAGGCTAGAGATGGTGTCTCGATAAAAATACTCATCTTGGGCAGATGTTAACTGCATCCTGCTACTGTCTTGTAGAAGGCCTCCTAGGCAAAGACTTCTGAAAGAAGTCAAAATTCAGAAAAATTCTGCTAACCAGCCTCGAACCCCTTCTTCATCTATTAGGCTGGCGTAGATGTAACCTGTGTTACATTGTTTCCTGCTTAGGATAATGAATGCTGAATCTCCTTGACTCTACTCATAGAATTTTGCTTATGCCTCCTTGATAATGGCTATGCAACTCTTCCTGTTATCGCCATATGAGGGTACAGCTCTAAAACTCAGTTTAATGGTTCTGAGGCCGGCTGGTAGTAAGGTTTCCCGAACTCTGTGGTAGCTCTCAGAGAGGCTGATTCCATCAACAGCTGCAAAATATCAGAGTATTAACAGTGCCATGTTGCGCATGGATGGTGTCCCTGTTAATGCTTTTAGTGTGCATTGTCAAGGCCACATAAGGAGCCCTATGTCACGGCTTAGGGTTAATTAACAGGACTGAGACAACTGCATAGCTCATTGATTAGGAGGCTGTGCTCTATCTATGAATGAGTCAAGTTCTCATTAAACCCAAATCATGACCAAAGTAACCAAAAATTTTAAACCTAAAAAACCATCCCCACCACCTAAATATTTTAATATATCTTTTACAAATATTCGCGGTCTACGAAGCATTTTTCCATCAGTTGAGTCTTACCTCCTGTAAAATTCACCAGACTTGCTTGCACTCAGTGAAACAAATTTAAGTTCTGCAATTCCTTCTTCAGATGTCAGTGTTGATGGGTACTATCCTTTGATTCGTAAAGACTCCAATAGTCACATGCTAGGTTTAGGGGTTTACATACGCATTAATTCCCCTATTTGTCGTGAAATCAGGTTCGAATCCTTTGACCATTCTTTTATGTGCTTTCGCCTAGCACCTCTTCACTCTATCACCTTTCTCTTCGTTCTTTATCGTTCTCCTTCTTCCCATGATTGCACTCTTTTAGATGTTATCTCTGATCAAATTGACCATGCCCTCTCTCTTTACCCCTCTGCCAATATTGTTGTTGTTGGTGATTTTAATGCCCATCACACTGAATGGCTTGGCT